GGGAGGGAGGGAGGGAGGGAGGGAGGGGAGGGGGTAAGGGGAGGGGTCGGGGTCTCACCGATGAACAATCTTAAGAGAGTGAATGTATTCCAGAGCCTGCATGAGTTGCGACATGATACCGAGAGCATCTCGTTCCGAGAAGTGCCCTGAAGTATCATCAGCACATCAAGTCAAGTCAGCACACGCATGATCAGCACATCAAGTCAAGTCAGCACATGTATGATCAGCACATCAAGTCAAGTCAGCACATGTATGATCAGCACATCAAGTCAAGTCAGCACATGTATGATCAGCACATCAAGTCACTTCTTGTCATCACCAGCAGCTGCATGTATGCTCACCTTTCTGAGAGTCGATGATACAATCCAGCAGAGCCCCACCTGGCAGGAGTTCGAGGACGATGTAGAGGCTGCAGGTGAAGTTTCAAACTTCACAGCCCCGGCAGCTCCCAAGTTTCAAAGTTTCAGAGTTGTGAAACTTACTGGCTGTGCGTCTCGACAAACTCGCGCATGAAGACGATGTTTGGATGTTCTCCAACCCTTCGCTGTATCTCGATCTCCTCCTGCTCCCCGTCACCCCCACAAGAACGCGCTCCAACAACCATTTTACCCTGATGTCCTCCTGCCCCTTGGCATTCAGCCCGTCCTTGTTGATTTCTTTGAGCTGCCATCACCTCAACTCTCCTCCTCTTCCTCCTTCGCCCTCCTCTTCCTCCTCCTTACCGCCCATGCCTTCCCCGTGTTTCGATCGATGCCTTTCCAGACGGTGGAAAACGAACTGCGACGGCAGCATCATCGAGGAGGAGAGAGGAGAGCGGCGGGTCACCCGGATCCGAGCATAGCCCTCTGCTCGTCCCTTTCGATGATGTACCTGCGCATGCGAGTCGGCCGACTTGTTGCCCATCCTCAGCGCTCACCCGTTGTCTATGTTGCTATGCACAGCCACCCATTGCAAATCTCGTATCCAAGCTTCGCGCTCCTCATTCGACTCCGCGTAAAACACATGCTGCAGTTACCAATCACCTCCCCCCTCCCTCCTCCCCTCCTCCTCCTCCTCCCCCCCTCCTCCTTCTCCTCCTCCTCCTCCCCTCCTCCTCCTCCTCCCCCTCCTCCTCCTCCCCCTCCTCCTCCTTTCATAGTACGTACAAGTCTCAACTCTTCATCTGCTTGTAACTTGGATCCTTCACGCACGCGGGTATCGATGCTGAGAGGCATGCAAGAAGAGGTAGCAGAATCAGTCAACATCCATGCTCTCAACCCGCAAGCTCGACTGCTCCCACTTCTCCACCGCCTCCTCCTGCTCACCCTATGGCATACGCTGGTCCTCCTTTCGCCAAGAGATCGTCGTCGGTAAGCAGCGCGTTGATCTCAACTCTGAGCGTCAGGCACGTCAGTGTGCAGCTGCGGGTCGGCTCGTGGACCTCTCCAACGAGATAGCCGTGCTCTTTTCTGTCGTCGTGTCCTCCGTGTGATAGCAGAAGAGAATGGCCGTGTGCCCCTGGGGATCAGCATCACGACAGTCGCTACCGGAATCACCAAGGCCTCGAGCGGTCACCAGCTCATCCCATCCTATCTTGCACCACCTTCGGGTCCACATCTTGAGTCGCCTTCCTTTCTTCCTCAGCCAGCCTTTCCAGAAGATTGAGAACATAACTTGATGCAATGGTGAAACAAACCTTCTCTGCTGGGAGGATCGTTCTGAATCTTGAAGTGTGGAAGAACCATAGCTCTTTTATCTTGAGTCGTCCTCCTCTTCTTCACTTCCTCTTCCTCTTCTTCACTTCCTCTTCCTCTTCTTCACTTCCTCTTCCTCTTCTTCACTTCCTCCACTTCCACTTCCTCTTCCTCTACGTTCTACCCACTGATTTCTCTTCTTCCTCCTTCCTCTCTCCTATCTTCTTTCTTCTTCTCCTCTCTTGCCCTCTTCCCTTCAGCTCTTCACCATTTTCGAGTTCCTTCACTCATCCCCCTCAGCCTCATGCTGTTGAATACCGGACATAATACCGGACATCTGACCGGACATCATCCCGGCTGTTCAGTGAATACCGGACTGGACTCAGCATCCCGAGTCCCCGGCACTGCGGCGGCCTGCCCGGGCCCGGCTGGCCCGGGGGGCAGGCTGCGGCCCGGCCCGGCCCGGCCCGGCCCGGCCGTCACTGTTCAAGTTGTCTGCCCGCGGGGCCGGCCGCGGGGTCCAGCCGGTCGAGCCTCCGAGCGACGGTCGGACAGCGGCGCCGCGGTCGGGGCGGGCCGGGGCCTGCCCCGGCGGGCCCCCGGCGGCGCGGCACCGTGCCGGGCACGCCGCAAGTCCCGGGAGCCTCGGCGGGCCCGGAAGGAGCGACTCAGCGGCAGGCCGGGCCGGCCGTTGTGTCACGTCAGTGATCAGACAGCGTTCGACTCGGAATGGGGCCGCATGCCAGTCGGATCCGACGGACCGGCGAATTCTTTACTCAAAGTTAAGTGAAAGATCAGTACGAGCCAATTCAGTAGCCGGTCACTGCTGAGTCACGGTATCTCAATCATTTTTACAGGTATGCCCTTAGGTGCATGAATCGATGCGGTTTCAAATCTCCAAGGGCCATATTTGAGTAAAGGTTAAGGCCCTTTGCAGCCTCTGATTTGAAAAGATCTAGTTTCGAATACAAAGGTTCCAGCCTGACTCCTTCACTCCTCCATTTCATCCCTCCTCTCCTCCTCCTCCTCTTCATCTTCTGCCCACCGTCCTCCTGCCACGACGCTCCCTCCTCTAGCCTCCAATGTCCTCTCTCTCCCTCCCGCTCCCCCAGTGTGCGCCCTCCCTCCTTCCCGCCTCCACCGAGTCGTCCGCCCCCTCCCCAAGCAGCCGCATGTCGACCGGTCCCTCGCGCGCCAAGCAGCTCGCGTGCCTGCAGGCCTCCATCCGCCTGATCCAGTCGGGGAGGCCGGTGGTGGGAGCGACGGGAGAGTGGGTGCAGCTCGGGGGCTCAGCTTGCAGCCCGGCCATGCTCATCGACTAAGACAGCAGCCGCACGGGCGCTGAAGCCTCAGCTTGGAAGCGAGGAGAGAGGTGGAGGGGTGTAGAGTAAGGACCTGTTGTAGACTATGTAGAATAAAGACACGATCTCAAGCGTATCTGCGTGCTCGGGGCCTTCGGAGGCTCTCGCAGTCCGCCTTGGGGAGCCCACGTGTCGGGCGAGTCACAGGGGGGCGGCAGGAGAGGGGGATAGACGGGGACACAGTACAGCAGGGCAGGGACAAGGGAATATCGGGGAGAGGAGGAGGGTACGGGGATGAGGAGGGGAGGATAGTAGGGCAGTCTGAGGGACAGGGCAGCCATCACTTGGGTATGGCCTTGCGGCTGCCCGGAGGGTCGTGAGCAAGGGAGTCAGGCAGAGAAGAGGGAGGGCGTGCAGACGCGTCAGCCATGAGGGCAGGGACCAGTGAGCCGGGGGATACAGCAGCAGCGGCGAGATGTCTAGGAGGATGGGGGCGCGAGGAGTCGGAGGCGAGGCGGACCAAGGCAGGGGGGAGGGAGAGTGTGTTTATTGAAGGCGTTGAGGTTGCGGGACTCGAGCCCGTCTGCGGGAGACGTCTGCCTGGGTAGAGCAGGACGCGCTCATGGAGGCTGGACGCCTCCAGCCCGGACGGCAGTCGAGCATCTCTCGCTCTCGGTCGGTCTTGTGTCCGCGGTCTTGTGTCCGCGGTTGCCGCGGAGCTCGGGCCGTGACCTGGTCGTCGACGACGGCATGGCAGCAAGCTCAGAGCCTGAGGGTAAGCGGCAGGACGGGAGCCTCCCTCACCTCACTCAAGAGGCTCAGGTCGCTCGCCGGCCTATCCTTCTGCATCAGGTGGGGAGAGGAGGAGCGTCGGCTGGGGCCCCGACAGGCGGGGGAGGAGCGAGAGGCTGCAAGCTAGGGGCCGTGTGGTGTTTTGACCCCCAGCGTAACTGCAGAGTCTGATTACTACAGGCAGCAGCCTCCGTTCTGAAGCGGTGTACTTTTAGAGCCCCGAGGGCCATGCTTGAGTAAAAAAGCAGCCTCCGTTTCTGAAAAGCTCTTGTTTTGGGGCGCCATAGCTGCTCCCGGACTCAGCCTGTCCGCGAAAAGACGTCTATTCCAATGAACCTCACCCTTACAGGCGCATTGGTATAACCCGTCAATATCTCCACGTCCACATCGTCCCCCTCCCACTATCCTCCCACCGTCCTCCTGCCACGACGCTCACTCCCCTAGCCTCCAATGTCCTCTCTCTCCCTCCCGCTCCCCCAGTGTGCGCCCTCCCTCCTTCCCGCCTCCACCGAGTCGTCCGCCCCCTCCCCAAGCAGCCGCATGTCGACCGACGGTCCCTCGCGCGCCAAGCAGCTCGCGTGCCTGCAGGCCTCCATCCGCCTGATCCAGTCGGGGAGGCCGGTGGTGGGAGCGACGGGAGAGTGGGTGCAGCTCGGGGGCTCAGCTTGCAGCCCGGCCATGCTCATCGACTAAGACAGCAGCCGCACGGGCGCTGAAGCCTCAGCTTGGAAGCGAGGAGAGAGGTGGAGGGGTGTAGAGTAAGGACCTGTTGTAGACTATGTAGAATAAAGACACGATCTCAAGCGTATCTGCGTGCTCGGGGCCTTCGGAGGTTCTGCTTTGCCCAGCTTTTGTTGTAGGGAATATCGGGGAGAGGAGAGGGGACGATAAGGGACGTTCGAGCTTTGTTTGATCACACAGATGACCGACCATGCAATGCTGTCCGGACGGGAGAACAGCTACAAATCTACACGCGCTAGTGTTTGTCTTTACAGGACCACCTGCTGTGTTATGTGTTGAACTGGCGGATGGCCACACAGCACCGCGTTTCGAGTATTTTTCAAGTGAGTTGGAATTCACACCATTTATGCAAGATCTAAGCTTCAATGCCACAGCCACTCTACTTCATCAGGTGTAGATGTGCACTTGACTCGCAGTTTGCGAACATAACTTGTCCATTTTAGCTGTCCACTTCGATTCGTCGAACTGCTACTAGCAGCTCCAATGTAAGAATGCATTTCGCTCCTTTTCGCTTCACTGTCCTGTCCGCTATTGCTGATCACCTTCCTTATGAATTGATGAAAACGCCACATGAAGAACTTCATAGTTGTCAATCGTTTATCTTGGCCCTCCTGTCTCAGATCGTTTCCTCTCATACGTTTCAGCGGTGGAATTCCTTTTAGATCGCCGTTCTAATCGCTCCAGGCTGCCTCTTTTGCTCCTGCCTCGTCCGATACTCGTGCATCTTGCGGATCAACCCTCTGACCTTGGTACTGCTCTGCCTTCAGCTGCTGCACTGAATGAACTGGCTCTTCCTGTACTGATCCTGGCCGTTGAGATGCTTCCTCCTGCGGTTGTTGTACCTGCTGCGGTTGTTGTATTGGCTGTGGCTGCTGAAGCACGTGCAGGAGCTGCAGCAGTTGTAATTGTTGCTGAATTCTCTAACATCCGTTTCTGCATGTCCCACTCTTCCTGTTGCTCGTCATAAAGCTTTGTGGCAAATTCGAGCAGCAGCAGCAGCAGCAGCTGCTTTTTGTGTCTATCATTTTGTTGGTGAGAAGCTTCAAGCTGTTGTTGCAATAGGAAGGGACTTTCCTCATCCTTTCGCTGAGTTTGTTTCTGCATCTGCTGTTGATTGCATACCTCCATTTGATTTCTCAGCTTCTCTTGCAGAAGCTTGGTCTCTCCCTCTTTGTCTGCGTCTTGATCGTTCTCCTGCCTGGCATCCGTCTTTACCTTGGCGAATGCTGCAACGTTGCAGACTCGTCTAGTCTTGGTAGGACTCTCTGCAACATATTCCACAATCGATCCCGCTATTTGTGTTTCAGAGAGAGAAGGAACAACATTTGGGGTTTGCTGCTGTGCTGAAGCATTTGGTCGATTTGTTCCTTTTGGCCTCAGCATGGCCGCAGCCGCTGGATCGCAAGGTAGCCGTAAGAAACGCTTGTTCGGTTCACGATGCAAGGTTAGGAACAACGAATACCAACTGCATCCATGTACTGTCTGCTCCAGCATGTTTCATGTACTGTCTGCTCCAGCATGTTTCATGTACTGTCTGCTCCAGCATGTTTCATGTACTGTCTGCTCGAGCATGTTTCATGTACTGTCTGCTCCAGCATGTTTCATGTACTGTCTGCTCGAGCATGTTTCATGTACTGTCTGCTCCAGCATGTTTCATGTACTGTCTGCTCCAGCATGTTTCATGTACTGTCTGCTCCAGCATGTTTCATGTACTGTCTGCTCCAGCATGTTTCATGTACTGTCTGCTCGAGCATGTTTCATGTACTGTCTGCTCCAGCATGTTTCATGTACTGTCTGCTCCAGCATGTTTCATGTACTGTCTGCTCCAGCATGTTTCATGTACTGTCTGCTCCAGCATGTTTCATGTACTGTCTGCTCCAGCATGTTTCATCGTCTGTGCTTGTGAGAGGTGTGATGGGGCCAAAAGAATCTCTCGTTGGTAGGGGGGGTGGGTCCTATAAGGTGCAACAGGGTGCAACATGCTGGTTTGTAGGGGGGGTGGGTCCTATAAGGTGCAACAGGGTGCAACATGCTGTTCCACAGCATGTTGCTGTTCACAGTGATGGTGATGCAAGGTGAGAGGAGGAGGAGGAGGAGGAGGAGGAGGAGGAGGAGGAGGAGGAGGAGGAGATAATGAGAAGAGTCTGCAACTGGTAGAGATGTGGTGGAGGCAAGAGGAGTAGGAGGAGCAGTAGGATCATTGGGAGCAGGAGGTGCAGTGGAGGGAGCGAGAGCAAGAACATCGGTCAGGGCCAGGATGATGAAAATGAGGGGATGGCCAGACAAAGACGTGAAGCAAGAGGAGCAGAGGAGATAAAGCGAGCGTTAGGGTGCAAGTGCTAGGGAATGGTTCAGGGTCGGCAGAGGATTCATGATTGTAGACCCTGTAGCCTCTCAGTGAGATCATGGTTGTTTTGATGGTTGTCGCTAAGACGATCAGTGCAGGCCTGGCATATCAGTTTGCTCCTCATCATGCTAGCGGCTCCGGGTACCTGAGCTCGTCGCTGAAGGCTCGTCCTGCCGTCTCCTGCTCTCCTCTTGGCCCTCGAGTTCAGAGGTCACGGGCGGCTCTTATCTTGCGTTCCCTAAAGGCATCAGCGCACAACGACAGGGTGGCGAGCTGGGAATTTCTTCATAGCAAGCTTCCGCTCTGCAAGCGACGCGCCAAAAAGGAGGAGGGGGAGCTTCAGTTTCATCGGGACGCCTCATGCGCCTCCTTGCAGGCAAGAAGCGTCTGGTTGGCGCTGATGGAGAAGGGGATAGCGTATCGGGAAGTGCTTGAAGGAGCAGAGCAGCAAGTTCCTTCGCTCGTCTTGGCATCGTCAAGAGCGACGGGCATGAAGGAATGCTTCGCTCTCCTCGAAGAACAGTTTCCTGACGTTCCTCTGCTGCCTCCCTCGGACCAGCAGCGCGCTCGCGTCCTCGCAATGGTGGATGCGGCAGAGAAGGTGATGGGTGAAGCAAGCTTCGCAAGAGGCTTCTGGAGAAGCGACCAGCAGCTCAAGTCTGCCTACAGCTCAGCATGCGACGTGCTGACAACCTGCGAGGGTCTGCTGGAGCAGGAGGGAGGAGACTTGTTCGGGGCCGATGTCTTCACTCTCGCAGACGCGGCGTTCGCCCCCGTCCTTGAGGTCAGCGTCTTTGTGGAAGACCTCGTCCTCTTCCTTGGAGGAAAGACATCGAGCACCTTTCCTCGGGTTCGCGCATGGAAGAAGGCAATGGAGGAGAGGGTGTCGAGCTACGCCAGCCGCACGGGGAGCGACCTCGTATCGTTGATACTCGAGAGCAGCGAGCACGACGACGAGGAGACGAAGGCGATGCTGCAGAAGCTGCTGCTGCGCGACAGCTGGAAGGAGGTGATGAGCAGCAGGGAGAAACCAGTGTGGGTCTCCTTCACTCGACGCTACCCTTCGTTCGCAAAGAGCCCGCAGGTCGAGGCAGCAGCGGTTCTGATCGAGCAGCGAGCAGCACTGAGGAGGAGGATACATGAGAGCGTGCCTGAGGTCGTGGGGGGCAAGACAAGGATGAGGCAGGGGGGCGAGAGCGAGGAGGGAGACATGCCGTCTCTTGTTCTTCGCCTCCTCTCTTCCAGCATCCTCGACGCTCCTGACTATCAGACTGCTCCTACCTTCGCAAACATGTACCTCAGCACAGTCATGCAAGGTCGCACCCGTCTCACTTTCCCAGCACCTGAACAACTCAACCACCACCACCACCACCACCACCAACACCTCCTCCTCCTCCTCTTCCTCCTCCTCCTCCTCCTCCTCCTCCTTCTGCCCTTGTTCTGACCATCTTTACCTAGAGTTGTCGGAGGATGAGATCACTGAGCTTATCGAGGTGTTGACGTCTCCCTCTCTTTTGCCCTGTTATCCTCTCGTCCTCCTCCTCCTCCTTCTCCTTGCCCCCTTCCTCCTTCTCTCCTTCTTCCTTCTTCTCTCCTCGCTCCTCATTGACTTATTTCCCTTCAGATCCTCGATTTTCTCCGTTGCTCCATCGCTGCTCCACGAGATATGGGCTTCCTCCCAGTCCGCGCTCTTCGAGGTGAGGATGATGGAGATGATGGAGATGATGATGATGATGATGGAGATGATGATGATGATGATGATGATGATGATGATGGAGATGATGATGGTGGTGGTGGTGGTGATGATGATGATGGAGAAGAAGATGATGATGATGATGGAGATGGAAATGATGGAGATGATGATGATGACGACGACGATGATACTGATGAAGATGAGACTCGTTTGCTGATGCTGAGGCAGCGTACGTGGCATGGCTGATGAGCGAGGCGAGGAAGGAGAAGCGGGGGAGGAAGGAGACGGCAGCGCTACCGTGAGGGAATAAAAGAATATTCACTGAGCCTGCTAGTGTACATCAGCTGAGGTTGATGCGGTAGTGAG